ATCTTTCCTGTACCCATCTTTCCTGCACCCATCATTCCTGCACCCATCTTTCCTGCACCCATCTCTTTCCTGCACCCATCTTTCCTGCATCTTTAAACTCCTGCTCCTCTCCTTACCAAACTGCACATTTCCCTTGCATTTAGGACGTTCTCATGGTGGAATTGATTAAAAGCAGGGGCAGCAGCTGTGCTGCAGCTTAGAGCTATGTTCACTCTACTGAACAACTAAGTCCATTACTTTTGAAGTCAAGAATGAAGCCTTTCTCTGCCAGAGGATAGCATGAATGGCGGCTTATAGTCCAGTTCTGAGTAGTCATATTCTCCTCTGAATTTCATGAGCCCAACCTTTCCTAGTCACGTGGTTTTCTGGGTAGTCTGAACTCTCACCAGAACGGCCCATCAGACTGATAATATTCTAAGGGTTCTTGAGGTTACAGCACCAAATCTTGCACACTCCTCTCACAAGCCAGTGCAAAGGCCTGCAGACCACATGGGCAGATTCGGACAGCGATGGCCCTCTCATTGGTACCAGTTTTCTGTGTTAGCTCCTTTTCCCTTTCTGTGACAGAATACTCACACTACAGAATGCCACTTTCCGAGTATGACTGCCACCGTCTTCGTCGGCACAGCGGTGACCGCTTGTAAGAGGCTCTGAGAACAGGCTTGATGGCTGTCGATGTTCCTTTATAGAAGGAGCAGGTGGGCAGGGTCGTTAGACCCTCACCCGCGAGTCCAGCTGCTCTCCTGCACTGTCTGGCCATTTGTATGTAACTCTGCCCTAATTGCATGTGGCCTTCAGTGCTGGAGTGGGAAGGTTAATGAGGAGGGGGCGTTCTTTCTATGAAGCTGGGAGGCAGTCATCATCCACGCAGGTTGAGACTTTCCGGAGGTGTGGCTGCTATGGAGTCATCCACGCTCCTGTGAAGCAACCCTCATCCGTGATCTGTAAGGAAGCCCAGTAAACTCATTGCTTTCACAGCTCGGATTCTAGTGGAACCCTATAAGGAGGGGATAGACATGATTTGGATTTCCTTCATGCCTGGGGAAGCACGGCAGACAGCAGGAGCAGGAGGCAGCTGGGCGGGTCTCAGAACCAGGAAGCAGAGATGGCTACTGATGATCAGCGGCTCCCTCCTTTCCCCCTTTAATCCCATCTGTGTCAGCCCAACAGGATCTGGAATCACTTGGGTGATGTGCCTCTGAGAGTGCTTTTGGGGAGTTATCTCAATCACATTAATGGATGTGGGAAGACCCATCTTAGCTGGGACTGGACTCTATAAGCTGAACACTAGTGTGCATCCCGTGCCCCTCTTTCCAGACTGTGGGTGTCATGTGACCTCCTCTCACTCCTGCAGCCTTGACTTCCCTCCCTGATGAGCTGTGAAGGAAAACAACCCTTTCTCCTTCAAGTCTGCTTTTGTCAGAGTATTTTATCACATTGATGAAGAAGTAATAAGGGAATCTAGAACCCCAGCCTGTGGGATGGTGCCATCCACATCAGTTAAACAACTATGGAAACCCCTCACAGACTTACCCAGGGATGTGTCTCCTAGGCTATTCCAAGTCCAGCCACCTCACAGGCTTACCCAGAGGGGTGTCTCCTAGGTGATTCCAAGTCCAGCCACCTCACAGGCTTACGCAGGGATGTGTCTCTTAAGTGATTCCAAGTCCAGCCACCCCACAGGCTTACCCAGGGATGCGTCTCCTAGGTGATTCCAAGTCCAGCCACCTCACAGACTTACCAGAGGGGTGTCTCCTAGGTGATTCCAGACCAGCCAATTAAGATTAACCATCACATCCTGCAAGGCCATCAGCCTTTCTTACCCATTCAGCCTTTTCTCACGAGGCCATGAAGCTGCTGGTTGATTCTTTCACAGGACTGGCCCACGTTGGTGATATAATGATACTTAAAACAACTGGGAAGTTCCCAACATCCACGAGAACAAGCGACTTGTTATTTTGCTGTGTTGTGTTCTTTGAGTCAGGTTCTCATGTAGCCAAGGGTCACCCTGAGTCTCTTCGATCCTTCCAAGTGCTGGGATTACAGGCATGTGACACCATGTCCTGTTTCATGTGGTGCTGGGGATTGAAGGGGGCCTTTGTGCAAGCTAAACATTCTGCTAACTGAGCTACATCTCCAACTTCACGCCTTTTGGAGACAGCTTCTCCCTTTGTAGCCCAGGCTTGTCTAGAACTCGCTTTGTAGCCTAGGCTGGCCTCACATCTGCAGAGATGATGTTCCGGCTTTCGCCTCCCCTGTGCTGGGGTTACAGGCATGAGATCACCTCTGGAGGATTCGCTTACCTTTCAATTCCATTTGAGCCATCAGGGCAGGTATCATTTCAGTTTGTCACCAAGGTCAGGGTCCCCCTCCGTGACCCCCACCCCTGCTGCTCAGTAATGCCTGCTAACTCATCTGTTAGGCTGTGGTGTATTTCCTTCCATGACCCTGGCACTTATAGTGTAAGCACCAGCAGGAGGAGGCGGTGCCCTGCAGGATAACCTTGCTCGGAATATGTCCCCTGACTCCCATACCCACGTCCCAACCGCCACCGCTGGTGAGTCATGGTTTTGGCTTCAGCATCGCTGGCTCCAGCTGCCCTTAGCATGTAAATGCTCCTGCAGCCCTATCAGACATCAACAGCTCAGTGTGAATTGGCTGGTATCCCTGAGCACGCTGGCAGGGACTGCCGCGTGGGTGGCAGGGCTGGGTACCTCATCTATCTCTTGCATAGCGTGAAGATGCCCAGCTGGGATGCTGGGTGTGAGTCTGGTACATGGAGGCCCGCAGTAAATATTTTGCTGAATGTTGACTCATGCCAGGGGCTCCATCCCTGTTCTTCAGGGACTGGCTCTTCACATCCTAGGAGCTGGAGAGCTGGTCCTTGGGGAGGGAGTGGGTCTCTTCCAGAGCTTGTAGCAGGAAATCTCCGTCTAGCTTCTTAAACTTCTGACTCCCACAGAGCCCTTGTGTCGGGGCTTCTTTCTGGCCACCCATCTCAAAGGAGGCAACATTCTGGAGATGTGCCTCTTAGTTGCCCAGGGCGATGACTCAGGAAATGCAGAGGCAGGAGGCTGCAGGTATTGGTCTCTAGCCTCTCTTATCTTCTACAATCACTTATTCATTCAACAAACATCTACTGAAACCCAGTGTGCAGCGGGCGACAGACTTGGATCTGAGAATGGCTGGGGGAGGCACACTTCCTTCCCCTCAGGGAGTCACAGCACAAATCAAGGTCCATGCTACTGCCCACCTCGCTGCTAACTACTCATCTTGCTTCCCACCCCTAAGAGATTGTGAGTTTCCTGGGTGAAGGACCCGAACCCCATTCCTCACTGAGTGTCCCAATGACCTAGCACAGGGCTTGTGGAATGAACTGGGGTGGCACAAGGGGGTGGGTTAGGGAAGTGTGGGAGCAGCTGAAGGTGCAGAAGTGACCCTGAGGGGGACCCGTGATGAGGCAAGTGCTCCTCCATATTTGTTCTATAGCTTTGGGGGATGAGTGCGTAGAGAAGCTGGCCTCATCTTGGTTGCTCCTATAGTGACACCCACAATCACAGGAGGGAGAAGAATGAACCACTGGGGTTCCTGAGGCCACATATTTTGTGTGTTTGGAACGGGGTGGGGCAGGGGCTCTCTGCCTCATCTTGCCTGCAGGTTAACCCCGACCTGCCTCTTGCCTCCTTCTCCGCACAATGGCCCATAGTCCACACCCCAGTCCACAGTGCCCTGCATCACCTTGCCAGAGAGGGGCATTCATGTGCAAATTGGGCCTGCTACCTCTGTAGGTCTAAACAATTGAGGTGGGCAGCACAGGGCCCTGCAGGGCCAGCTCTGGACAGCTTGGGAGACACAGGCCAGGGAGCTCCCAAGAGAGCTGTGGCTGGCCCAGAGGCAGAAAGAGATCAACCTCTCTTTCTTTTCCTAGGAGCAGTGTTACTGTCCCTGTTCCCACACTTTTCTTTTCTTCGGAGCATGTGACCTGTGCCAGGGAGGGTCAGGCACCTCTGATCCTGCTGGGGACACCGAGTTCTCAAGTTGACCCAGTGTCCAGTCTACTGACTTCCCTGAGCTAGCTTTTTTTTTTTTTTTTTTTTTTAAATCTTAGGGGACTTGGGGACAGCACAACGTAGGTACAGAGTCTCAGACTGCGGTATTGCTTTTATTCAGCCTTGCTTCTTCCCACAACCAGGTCTGCCCCTAGAAACTCACACTGGACGGAGGGACATGTATGTTGGGGGGAGGGGGGTGTTGCGGGTTCCTGCTTGAGGTGAGGAGGGCAGGACACTGAGTCAATAACGATTCACATCAGCTCACGGTGCCCCAGCTTCCCCAAGCCTAGTTCCATGGGGTCCCATGATGTGATTCTTCCCAAGTATGGGGGCCGGGGGCCACAGGCCACGGCTACTGCTCAGAGTTGGCCTGCTCCCTGGAGTTCAGGTAAGAAATGAGTCACTGAGGTTCACCTGCAGTGACAACTGGGAGGAAGTATCAGGGACAGCTTGGCCAAATGACCAAGAGGCCATCATGCCCTCCCCCTTGGGACCTGAGTCACAGCTTTCAGGGAAGTGGGCTAACGGGATTCCAGGCTCCCAAGTGTTTGGGTTGAGTCATGGAAGCAGCCAGGGCGCTGGACATGGGCCGTTGCAAGATCCCCCTTGGCAACCCCCAGCCTAAGGTCCCACGGGCTTCTAACACTCTCTGCCCCAGCTGAGCCACTTCCTACCCCAAGCGCTCGGCAAGTTGCAGACAGGATCTCTGTTTCCCGAGACAGTCAAGGATGGAGCCATGCTCAGGGCAGTCAACACGTCCCTACTGCCCCTCACAGGGTGCACCCTGGGCACCCATCTTGAACCTGAGCCTGAGTCCCCCGTCTAGTTACTGCCCCTAGCCCCAGTAGCCAGTTGTTTCCTCCTGGTAGCCCCGCCTCCTCCCTGACCCACTGTCTGGGTGGCCCAGTCACCAGCTGGGGAGACTGGTCCAACAGCATTCCTCCTCACAGGATAAAACCTGGGGCGACCTGCAGGGAACCCGACACTACAGCCACCTGTCCTGCCAGTCCCAGCCAGCACAGCCTTGGAGATGGTCAGCAGCCTCGCTGGGGCTCCACCCCTAGCGGTGATTTCCAGACCTCCCCCCGCACTGGGTGGGGACCAGTTCAGGATCGCAATCTTTCTGGCGCTGCTGACTTCCACAGGTGAGCCTCCGGGGCCTGCGTCTCTTCGCCTCCTCCTCTCTCCACTCCTCCTTCCTGCCCACAGCCCCTCCTCCTCGCCAGCCTCCTGGTTCAGCACCCTTCCCTCGAGTGTGGGTTCTCCTTCCCGTTGTCTCCTTTCATTTCCCTGTGCCTCTGTCTCTGTCCCCTGCCTCAGTTTCCCTAGCTGAACGCGGGCGAGCGCCCTGGTCGCCGTGCTTGCTGCGGGCTCTTCTCCCATGCTGCGGGCTCTTCTCCCATCTGGTCAGTGCGGCTTCCCTTTGTCCTCCGGCTTCTGTTTCCCCCTCCGTGGTTTCCATCTTGGGTCTACTCCTTCTGTTCTGGAATGGGACGGCTGCCCAGGTTTTCGTGGGGGCTGGGGAGAAAGCCTGGGTGCTGGCAGTATGTGTCCCAAGCTCTCTTCCTACTCTTAGGAAGGTGGAGAAAATACTGGTGAGCTGGGAGGCAGGGGTCTGAAAATGTTTGTTCCAAACAGAGCTTCAGGAGTTATCTGTGGGGTGTGTGTGTGTGTGTGTGTGTGTGTGTGTGTGTGTGTGTGTGTGGAGAGAGAGAGAGAGAGAGAGAGAGAGAGAGAGAGAGAGAGAGAGAGAGGTGGTAGGAGGAGTGGGGAATGGTCCTGAGGGCTCAGGATGAGTCTGTTTGAGAGGATGGGGGATGCCCCAGGCATGGGGATCAGGGCTCCTCACCACCGGGCCTAACCCTCTTTACTCTCTTGCCCTCAGCTACCCTCGGTGCTGCCCACATCCCTGGAGAGTGTGAGTAGGCTGGGGTGGGGGGTGGGATGGGCGGTCTCTGGATGTCACTCTATGGGGTAGGTCAGAAGTGGGGTCTGTGGTCAGAGAAAGCTGAGGAAGAAGGGATACAGGGATCATGAGCGTGGGGAGGGGTATAGAAAAGAGGATGAACCTGGAGGAGAAAAGTCTGGAAGGACAGGAGGATGAGAGTCAAGAGAACCAAAGAAATCAAGGTTAGGGGAAGTGGAGGGAAGGCCAGCTAACGGGCTGGAGAGAGGGATGAAAGGGCCAGCGCCCCGGTAGCTAAAGGGGATGGGGACAGGGCATGGACTCACCTGTGGTAAACACTGTGCTGGACACATGCCGTGCTGGGCCACAGGCTTGAGACCTTGGAGGGCCTGGAGGTTGGTTGAGAGGCAAGTCAGAAGACAGTTGGGTCTGCTGAGATGACAGGAAACTCCGTCCCTCCTGCCAGTGTCTCCAGACTGTGGCAAGCCTCAGCAGCTGAACCGCGTCGTGGGTGGCGAGGACAGCGTGGATGCCCAGTGGCCTTGGATTGTTAGCATCCTCAAAAATGGCTCCCACCACTGTGCAGGCTCCTTGCTCACCAACCGCTGGGTGGTCACAGCTGCGCACTGCTTCAAGAGGTATGTGCAATCAGATTTGCTCTTGATTCCTCAGTACCCATCCTTCCTTCCTGTCTCAGGCTCCAGGCTGTCCAGTTGTTCAGGGATCCTGATTGCCATCGTACCAGGCATTCTCTCCTTGACATCTCTTTCTTTCTCTTTCCTTGCAGCAGCGTGGACAAGCCATCTCTGTTCTCAGTATTATTGGGGGCCTGGCAGCTGGAAAACCCAGGCCTAAGGTCCCAGCGAGTGGGTATTGCTTGGGTGCTGCCCCACCCTAAGTATTCTTGGAAGGAGGGAACCCGTGCAGACATTGCCCTGGTGCGCCTGGAACACTCTATCCAATTCTCTGAGCGGATCCTGCCCATCTGCCTGCCTGACTCTTCCGTACGGCTCCCTCCCAACACTGACTGCTGGATTGCAGGCTGGGGCAGCATCCGTGATGGAGGTGAGGCTCCCCTCTAACTTCAGAGAGGTCAGGAATAGCTGGGGACGGAGGGCGGAGGCCACTCAGATGCGGATACTAGGGTAGGAGAGGGTAGAGGCCATGTGTGCATTATAGAGACAAGGAAAGATGAGTTGGGGACTAGAGAAATGAAGTCACAAGAACTCAACTGCCAGTTTTAGGTCACCTCTAGCTGAAAGGAATCTGGCTCTCTTTTAAAGCAACAATAGAGATTTGCAGTAATAACAACAACAAAAGGAAGGAGTGAAGAAAAAAGGCAGGCATGGTGGCCCATGCCTGTAATGCCAGCACTTGGGAGGAAGAGGCAGGCAGACCTCTGTGAGTTAGCTGTCTACAGAGTTCCAGGACAGTCAGAATTACATAGAAAGACCCTATTGCGGGGGGGGGGGGGGTATTTGCAAAGCTCTTGACACAAGAATGGGTGGACATGGAGTGGGGACAAGATGGAAACATAATCAGCATTATCACTTCCAAGTGGGAATTGTCACCCCCTGGTGGCAGCATCTATGAATTGCAAGCAAAAGTCCCAGGAGGTAACGTAGTCTTCATCACCAAAAAACACAATTTTCAAACCAGTTATGGAGGTTTGGAAAATACTATCTATAACCACAAACCAGAGGAAATATAGAGGTAGAGAAAGGCAGATGGTAACTAGAGAGACAGAGCCTGGGTTAAGCCCAAGCGAACAGAAACGATCTATGAAAGAACACGCAGCAGAGACCAGGAAGGAGAAACTTGGGTATAGACAGTAGGGAAGAAAGGCAGAGCCTTAACCTGAGTCCAGAAGAATTGCTCAGGCACGGGCGGATGCTGGAACTCTGCAGTTGCAGCCTTCCCTTGGTCTGCACCTTAACTCCAGGGAAGGTGAGGGCTTGGTGAAATTCGGGGAATACCAAACACGCTGCCCTTGTAGGAAAAACTAGAGTCTGAGTCTAGAAACACCACTCTGCTGTGTAGCCCTCTGTGGGCATTTGGGAGCTTATTGAGGGCACAGAATCTAGGGCTGCGCATCCATGTTTGAATTCACTGGGTCAAGGGGTGGGGAGCCTGGGATTAGGGTTTCCTGAAAACACCTTGGGAAAGCCCAGTAGAGCGGATTCATTTACCTTTGAGGAAGGCCGCTGGGGTGGGGGGATAGAGGGGACCAGATGCAAGCACTGAACTGACTCTCTCTTCCTGTTCCCAGTGCCCCTGCCCCGCCCTCAGACCCTTCAGAAGCTGAAGGTGCCCATCATTGACTCAGAAGTCTGCAAACGCTTGTACTGGCGGGGTGCAGGGCAAGAGGCCATCACTGAGGACATGCTGTGTGCTGGTTACCTGGAAGGGGAGCGGGATGCTTGTCTGGTGAGCGCTCACCCTCTGCCCGCCCCAATTGGGAGGCCCAAAAGCTCCATCACTTCTATTTCCTGAGGGACATTCTTTCCCACCTCCGCCTGGGCCCCCTTTAGCCTGGCTGGGTCACCCATTTTCTGGTTCACACACGGGCTGTGTATAGAACTCCTCGGCTGTAATGCCTCAGCTTGGCAGCTGGCATTCTGAGTAGGGTCCAGTGCTTCAGAACCTTTGTCCTCTGTGGCCAGTCCCGTGACTGAGGTGGTCAGTGTATGTATGGTCCGGCTTCAGTGCCCACACTGCCAATTGGTGTAAAGACTTTCTAAACCTGTAAATGAAAAGTGGCCTCATCTCCTGCCCTTGTGGTCGTGGGGAGGTCATGCCGCCACCAGAAGTGGTTCTGTTCATAAGGCCTGTTCTTCCAGGGCCTCCACAGACGGCTTGGCTCAGTACTGCATCCTCTAAGCACGCCTGGGCTCTGCACACGGCCTGCCGGTGTGGGCGCCTGACTTTTCTTCTTCTCTGCAGGGCGATTCTGGGGGTCCTCTGATGTGCCAGATGGGTGACTCCTGGCTACTGACAGGAATTATCAGCTGGGGAGAAGGCTGCGCGGAGCGCAACCGGCCCGGAGTCTACACCAGCCTCCTAGCTCACCGCCCCTGGGTGCAGAGGATCGTGCAAGGGGTGCAGCTGCGCGGGCGCTTGGCAGACCGTGGGGACACCAGGAGCTCCTAATTGGGATCTGGAGAGCAGCCTCTTGCTGGTCTCTCGGCTGTAAATATGTCTTCTACCTCCGGGGGGCGCCAGTGGCCTGTAGGAAAAACTGGGAAGTCCCGGCCCCGCCCACAGCGAGGCCCCGCCCCTCAATTGAGGACTGTGTGTGTGTGTGTGTGTGTGTGTTTGTTTTTTTACAGTTATTTGTAACCATGCCACATATTTATTCCAGTTTCAATAAATTATTTATTCTCAGTTCTTGGGTTATTTCCCCCGATATATGGGAATCCAGTTGGGACAAAAATGCTGGGATATTGTTGAAGTGAAGTCGCACATGGGCCTGGCCACAGCTCCATCTCGGACCCCTGGCCTATCCTTGCTCTTGCTGGCCTTTTCTCTGAGGTGGGAAGGAGGGGACTGTGGCCCAAGGACTTGGCTGTGCTATACTGAGGAGTTCAGGGTTGGGATCCCCGCCAAAGCTAAAGCAGGGTTCCGAGAAGCTTATCTCTGTGAGAACGGAGCTTGGCTCATCTTCAGGCCAGATCCAGGCTGCTACGGCAGGACTCCGAGTGAGCTGCACTTGAAGCCAGGCTTGTCTCCCTGATTTAGCAGCTACACCCTGCCATGGTTGATTAATAGCAATGACTCTCTACTGAGGCCATAAATTCCTCTCCACCAAGGAGCTGCAAAACATGGAGGCAGCAGGTTTGAGTCACCTCACCTATCCCCTTGGAGGAGGGAGGAGTGCGGATGACAGCAATGACTCAGGCTGTGAGAGGGTCTGGGGCTTCCAGAATGTCCTGGGCTAAAGTCTGTTGCCCCTCCCAGTGGGGGCCCTCCCGAGGCCTGGGCTTGCATTTCTCAGGGCTCTGGGCGGTGGCCAGGCCACAGGAGCTGGATGAGTGCGGTCTTTATAATGGTTGATAACCTGAGAGTCACAAAAAAAAAAAAAAAAAAAGACCGGAAACCAGCCAGCTCCAACAGGTGATGAAGGCGACTTTGCTAAACAATGTCTCCTACCAGGAATGGCGGAGGTGAGAAGTCAGAGAACACCGTCCAGGTTTGTGTGTGCTTCATGCAGAAAGTGCAGTCCCGAAACACCGGTCCCATTGTTCCATCCATCCACATAGAGTTGCACCTGCCCTGTGTTGTTTTGATTTCCTTTATTGTTAGAAAGCAATAAACGTTGTTTAAAAAACAAACAGGCCAGACTGGCCACCTGCTTGTAAAGGATGGAGCCTGGGAGTGCTTGGGGATTCAGGTGTCCCAGATGCCAGCACATGGCTGGTTGAGTCCCCACAGCAGTGCCCTCTGTCTGTAGTGGTCCCCCCTATCCTCCTCCCCCCCTCCCCCCCACACTTATCCCCCAGCCTCCCTCGCTAGTCCCTCTCCTCCCCTCAGTCCCTCTCCCCCTGCAGCTACTTCCTGCTCCTTTGGGTCCTCATGCTCTTAGCCTTCTCTACTCTTCCCTCCCCCATCTGCAGAGCTGGGTTTGTCTTCCTGCCAGAGCCCTCACCCCAGCCCTGCCTTGGTTCTTGCCCGCTTCTATTCTTCTCCTTCCCTAGTTTCCCACTTCTATCCTGTACTCTGACCCTGTTTTCCCCAGGCCTGTGTGTCCATCCCTCACGTCCTCCCTCCGATATCACCCTTACTGAAGTCCCTTTGACAACTATCCGGGGTCCCCAATCAATGGCTAGATGCTTAGGTAGGGCAATGGTGGTGGCATTTGTCTATGGGAAGTCAGTCTTCAACTGTTCCCACCGCTTATCGTGCCAGAGTCGTGAGTGGCCCCAGCAAGTTGAGCTTCCCTGCCAATATTTAACAGGTCAAGTAAACAAACAAGAGATAAGGGATTCTTATCAATATAGCCACACTGAGAAGAATAGGTAAGGAGAGCCGATGCCCTTAAGGTCATCCTTGGGGCATTGACATGAAGTTTAGGTTTAAACAGAGGGCATGAGATATGATAATCTGGTCAAAATGTGGTCTTGTCAGTGGTGAGGGGACACAGACAGCCCCATATTGTCCTCTTCAGCAGCCTGAGGAAGTCCCCTACTCTTTCTTAAAATTAGATACTAGCTAATTAATTAATTGTGTGTGTATATGTAGGGACATGAAGGTCAAAGGGCAATTTTCTGGGTGTCGAGGCTCTCTTTCCACCTTAAACTCAGGTCAGCAGGCTGGTACAGTAACGAATCCATCTCATTGGCCTGTTTTCCCTAATATTTTAGGGACCTTGATGCCAAACCAGGATCCATGGTTTCAAGGCTGAAAATAAGTCCAGGACTAGATGATATTAAACAGAGTTGGAGATTTTATATTTTATTTTATTTATTTATTTATTTTTTGGTTTTTTTTTTTTTGGTTTTTTCGAGACAAGGTTTCTCTGTGGTTTTGGAGCCTGTCCTGGAACTAACTCTGTAGACCAGGCTGGTCTCGAACTCACAGAGATCCGCCTGCCTCTGCCTCCCGAGTTAAAGATCTATTTATGTTTATTTATGTGTTTAGTGTTTGTCTGCTTGTGTACGCTGTGTACCACATGCATGCAGTGCCCACAGTGACCACAAGAGGGCGCTAAATCCTCTGGAACTGGAGTTAACACCTGCTTGCGAGCGAGCTACCATGTGGATGTCTGGAAACAAGTTCTCTTAACTAGTGAGCCATCTCTCTAGCCCCAGGGGTTTTATTAGAGATAGTTTAATATAAACTTTAAATATGTGTGTTAAGAAAAAGAGAATTTCTCAAAAGAAAGTAAGAATGTAGGTTTCTCAGAGAAGAGGCTCAGAAAAGTGACATGCTAGTGACTGTCCAGGCTTCCCAAGGGACACTTGCAGTTGGCTGTGTTAGTGTTGACCACATGTTCAACTTTGGCCGTTTTCAGCTTAAATCTCAAGAGGTTGCTAAGAATCCCCCAAGCCCCTATATGTGTTCTTAATCTCTCTTGATAATTGAATTATAGTGGACTCTGGTGCTGCCACAGATGAGCTTATAGTCTAATGAAGGACAGTGATAAGGCCTAGGCATTTGGGACATGGCCTCCACCGAATGGTTCTGGAGAAATTCCTAGAGGACTTGCAGGTTTACAGCTGGAAAGGCAGAAAGAACTCGAGCAGGAGGTTCTTAGATGTGCTGGTTTCTTGTGTTCCGGATGGCAAGAGGCTTCGTCTAGGTTCCAGGGTGAGGGGCTCCCCTCCCTCCTCACGAACCCCAGGATTTCTGTGCTTTCCTTCCTGCCCATCACCAGCTCAGCTCCAGCCTCTCGGTCAAGATGTGTGAGCGAATTCTCTGTTCTAGAGTCATGCCCTGGCTGGCACCAGGCTTTTGCCTTTTGCTTCTGCCGGCCTAAGATTCCTGGCAAAATCCCCGTTTCTCAAGCCCATTGTCTCAGGCCAAAGGGAAGGGTGCAAGTTTCTCTTTGGAGTATCTTCATTTCAGTTACATTGGTGACAGCAGGAGGGGCCCTGGAAGTCCAGGGCTCCAGGGAAGGCTGGGATGTGAAGAGGGGAGTTGGTGGCCAGTTCCTGAGTGCACTGGGGTTTTCTTGATTCCTCCCTGCTCGGGGGACTCTTAGCAGTGTCCATGTCCTACACAGTCCATCAGTTCCGTGGCTCCTGCTCCTGGGGGCTGCCCAGCTCGGAGTACTAGGCCATATTCCGGGACCTCATTGTGCGCATGAAACTCTGGTCCTGAACATGTCCTGCTCAGGACAAAGTTCCATAAAACCGCTGGCGGCTGCAGATGGAGACCTTGGACTGCTGGGCCGTCTTGGAGGACGGACCCCATGACTAGCAAATGTGCCATTCCTTCAGCCTTCCATAGCCCTTGCAAAGCTCTGGCATCTTCTCCAGTACTGGGTGGGGACTTCCTGGCCTGTGACAAAAGTCACCACCGTAAGGACACTACCTGCCATGTCCCTGAGGTCTGGATGTCACCCCCCCCCCCCGTTTCCTTGAATTATAAACCCTTGAGGGGACCTTCCCTCCAACCCAGTACAAAGTTTTGGTTGCAAGGTTTAAGGGGGACGCATCCTGGATGAGTCCCCCACAATTTATCTCAGCATCCCTCTTGTACCCAGTATGGGAAATGTTAGTCTAGGTAGGGTCATGATAATGTTCATTTTCTCAGTTAAAGGATGAAATGGCAGAAAAAATCTGGAGCACAACAGATGGCAGCAGAGTGTTGTGGGACATTTGTACACTGAATAAAGAGACATCGCTGTGATTGGCTTAATAAAGACTCAAAGGGCCAATAACTAGGCAAGAGGAGGTTAGGCAGGATTTCCAGGGACAGAGAGGACTCGGGGAAGAAGAGAGGCAGAGAGACACCAATGAGATTCTGATGTGGGGTTCCCTTCTGTATGCTGTGAATATGTTTTATTACTATTGGTTAACAAAGAAGCTGTTTTGGCCAGTGGCTTAGCAGAGTAAAGCCTGGCGGGAAAGCCAAACAGAGATGTAGAGAGTAGACAGAGTCAAGAAGACGCCATGTAGCTGCCAAAGGAGAAAGATGCCACTGCCAAAATCTTTCCAGTAAGCCACAGCCTCATGGTGATACACAGACTAATAGAAATGGATTAGTTTAAGATATAAGAGCTAGGCAGGAGTACACCAAAGTTATTGGCCAAGCAGTGTTGTAATTAATGTAGTTTCTGTGTGATTATTCGGGTCTGGGCAGTGGGGAAACAAAAAAGCAGCCTCCATCTACAAGACTCTAAAGTTAGACTCACAATACAGATCAGGGGTAACTGAGCCACGAGGCAAAATGTAGGTTAAAAATGTGGGTTAATTAAATTATAAGAGCTAGTTGGGAAAAGCCTAAGCTTAGGTCAAGCTTTCAAAATTAACAGTAAGTCTCCATGTCATTATTTGTGAGCTGACCCCCCCCAAAAAAATCTGTCTACAAAGGAGAACTCTTGGGTACAGCACCAGGAGACAGATACAGCTTTGAAGATCCCAGGAGTAAGGAAGCACACATGTAGCATGAGCAGACACACGCATGCAGCAGGCACACGCATGCAGCAGACACACGCATGCAGCAGACACACAGAAAAAGACCCTCTGCGAAGCAGAGTGGGGACTCAGAAAGAAAAGAACTCCAGCTCTTCCTATAGCGTTTCCCTCCCCTAATTTAAGGCTGGCCAGTTTAAGGAAAGACAGGTGGTTGATTGGCACATCCCAGAATGAGGTCAGTCAGTCCACCTGCAGGAGGCCTGCCGGGGAGAAACAAAAACCTAGAGGCCTTTGTTTCAAGGTGCCAGGCTTATGTCTTGGGTCCAGAGAATGAAGATGAAGCTGGCTACATTGGAGTTCACTGTCTTTATTGCCTAGCCATGTCCTGTCTGTCTGTCTGTCTGTCTGTCTGCCTGCCTGGGAGTCTGTCTCCCAGTCTCTTGGGAACCTTTCACCAGGCCCTCAGCTGTCCTCCACCCCACAAACAGAACAAGGGTTTTAAAGTGCACACTGAGCCACAGGACGTCTGCTAAGCCAACACTTTTCCCAATGCTTCTCCCGCCCCAGACACGGTATTTTTCAAACGTCTCTCACGATCACTACGTCACATGTTCTATGGGCCTGTTGACCAATGAGGTGAGTGGCTTCTTAGTAAGACTGTTTTTCTCTGATGAAAGGGACACACTCAGCTGGAGACACCCATTGCCACCAGCTTACCATTAGTCATGGATGCAGATGGAGTGCCAAATGCCAGCGCTCATCTGATGACCGTGAGGCTACAAGCTGACATCTGTGACAGTTAATGTGACTTTGAAGGCTCTAGAATGCCCTGGGAGATGGCCTCTGAGCTGTGTCTGGGCAGTATCTTGGGCTAACCAAGGTGGGAAGGCCTGGTTGTAGGTCCCCCTGTTCCCCGGGTTGGGCCCCTGGACCCTGAAAATGGAGCAAATGAGCGGAGCACGGACATTTGTTGCTGTGTGCTCCTAACCATGTGACCAGTTAATTCAAGCGCCCCCTGTCGTGACTCCCCCCACCAAGAAGGACTGTAGTCTAAAGCTATGAAGTGTTGGATCCCTGACCATTGGGATGTTTCTCCACCAATGCAATACGCCAAATCGGACCAAATAAAGAAATCTAGATTTAATAAACAAAGTAAAGCAACTCCCAGGTGAGTCTTGAAAGGCAGGAGAGAAATCACACGGCAGGTTCTGCCACCAGATCTTAAATACCCTGAAGGCGTGATCTTGAGCAGCTCCCAGGGAGGAGCTGAGCCTCAGTGGGCTTTCTGGAATGGGAGGAGCGGGTTCCCAGATGAACATCCGGGGGAGGTTTGGAATGGGGGGTGGGGTAAGACTGGAGCAGAGATTGCCAACACAAACCAGGACGGAAAAATAAACCCTTCTCCCTTGAATTTCTTTGATCAGGTAATTTGCCACAAAGAGGAAAGTGGCTACTACAACCCAGGGGCAGTGAACAAAGACTCCAAAGCCGCGGGCGAAAGGACGCAGTTGGGTGCAGCCTCCGCCACAGCGCTCCCTGCCTTCCTTTCCTTAGGCGACCCCCAGGTGCTGGTGTATAAACTAACAGCGTGACCGCGCCATGCCATGGTTGAGAAGAAGGAGACAGAGAACAGTCAGCGGCATCTGAAAGAGGCCAGAGCAGAGAGAAAGTAGAAGACTGTGCTGGGGACCAGTTGGGGGGTGGGGGGGTGTCAGGTCCCAAAGAGGAGGTGTGGAGCCTGCGAAGGGAAGGAGGAGCCAGGCACGGTCCCGGGGTGAACTGGGATGGGTAAAGGGTTAAATGGGAGACAGGGAGCCTGTGAGCTGGGCTGTAGCTTGGGATCAGGGATTGAGGAAGCCAGCACTGACCACAGTCATATGTTCATGTAGTCACACGTTAATGGAAGGGCCACAAGTTCCTCTGGCCAGAGGAGAATGATTTACGGCTTTTGGAGCAAGCAAGACCTTTCTTCAAGCCCCGAAGGAATGGGGGCTTTTGTAGCAATGCTGACCTTGGGAAAAAGACTTTCTCTGGTCCGGTCAGACACTCCATTATAGAATATTGCAGTTTTTCTTTTTTTAAATATGACTTAGTTTATTCAAATAGCTAAAGCTCAAAGTGAGCAAAGACAAACTAGACACATACTACTGGAACTATGAGTAGACTTTAGGGATTTATAAATCGTGATTATCAAGTATACCTTATTGTACTATGCATATGTTACCTAAAATTTTGAGCAACTTGGTGTTAATGTGTGTGGGAGTAGGCAGAGTCCTTATGCTATGTGCTTCCATGGTAGCAGGAATTTTTTCCAAAAAATAAGTTTGTTTAGAGAGGCTGCCATTTTATACATCTTCACCCTTCAAAGTCTGCACACAATTTCCCAAAGGAAAAGGCATAAGGGAAGCCCATAATGCAGGGTGAGTGTAATGATTCGCTTTAGAGACCACTCAGAGCGGCCTCCAAGCTCTCTGGCTTCCAAATCCCAGGACCAGGGCCAATGGGCTTCTTTAACACCACGCCTGTAGAGAGAAGACGTTCTCCTATAGGTCTTGTGGTGTCGCTGTTCTCACGGGTTTTCATGTTTTCAGCTGTGGAGAGTAAACCCTCAAATTAAAGCTCTGCCAGTGTCCCGCCGGCTCCGCTTTTCCTTTCGCTGGGCTTCCCCACCTGTCTAAAAATGCTCTTTTCCTCTTGTTCCATTCCTTCTATCCTATCCCTGCCACCACTACCACTGGTCCTGCAGAAACCGGCAAGATTAGTCGGACCAGGCAGTTTTTACAGTTCCAGCCGTGGCAGGTGGCCCAGCGGCTCGGCAACAGGGCGGCTCAGCAATGTATGAATGGGGTGGCCACATGGATGTAATTTTGTTTTAAATGTATGTTCTATACAGCCTTTATGTCTCTCTTGTTATTATATTTATTTATTTAAAATATTTATTTATTATGTATATAATATTCTGTCTGTATGTATGCCTGAAGGTCAGAAGAGGGCACCAGACCTCATTACAGATGGTTGTGAGCCACCATGTGGTTTCTGGGAATTGAACTCAGGACCTCCAGAAGAGCAGTCAGTGCTCTTAACCTCTGAGCCATCTCTCCAGCCCCTTGTTATTATATTTAAAACTCCCACGATTCAAAAAATAAAAAGGCTTCTCTATACAACACATGACTGCCGCCATTTTGACTGAGGTCAGGTGACCTCACCAACATCTTAACTGAGGGCCAGGTCAGGACCAAGTACCTTTACTTTACTGAGGTATTCCCTGACTGGTTCCCTGGTGCTGACTCTGTTGCTTGTGTGTTTTGTGCAGTGGCATGCCTTTGGTAGGGCCCACCAAAAGCATCCACTTCGTACAATTCCTGTTCACTGTGTGTGTGTGCGTACATGTGGCTTAAATACATATATATTTACTGTTAAAGGTTATAATATAATAATCTGTCTATTAAATCTCATTCCAGATTAAAAAACAGTAAGTCTCGTGTTTTAAATTGGTATGTACTTTTAAGTCTCTTGCAAAAATACAGTATATTTAATCCAACCCTGATTTAAGATATATTAAGCTGTTTTCTACTATTGTCAGTTCTGCCACTAACCTTCTACTGCAAGCAGTTTCTTCTTCTTTCTGTCTTTTTACGAGTGTAAATCTTACCTGTTAAGAGCCAGTACAGTTAAGCTCAGACCCAGCTCTCCAGGCAGATTCTATACTGTAGTTATAACTTCTATACCTGGTAAACAGTCCTCAACTGCTCAGATATCTGGGGAATATGGCATTTAAATGCTTAAATATTAAAAAAAACTTTTCATAACAAGAAGAGACAGGTTGGCTTAAAGCAGCAGCACTGTTTCCTCCAAAGAAGACAGAAGACAAATGGGCTCAAAACATTGTCTATCTGCAATTTGCTTCAACTGCCAAGCACTGACCACTGGGTAAAACTGCCTTTTATCTAAACTGAAGATCTCTAGACGTGGACAGAATTGCTGGAATCGACAGGCTAGCTGCTTAGGTCAAGGTAGGTTTATCTTCCTACAGATTTCTTAGCCCATAGGATCTTCTGGAGCCTGGCAAGCCCTGTGCTAAACAACAAAAGAAGAATATGACCCTCAGAAACCATGGAGGACCCTGAGGAGTAGCTCTAGGTGCCAATCAGGTAAGTTCTCTGTTTTTAATCAATGACTCAAGTAAAATCGTATCCTTCTTAAAGATCTCTGATGCAGTTTGACAGCTGAGAGGTTTTGTCTGTCTAATAGGACAACCTCACCAAACAAATTTCAGCAAAATACAAATACAAGTTATTAAGGTGTGAGCAAGTTATAAAGGTGTGAGACAGATACAATTTATCAAATTTCTCTTTCATGTTGCCTTTCATAGTCTTAAAAATACTTTCATTCTGATATAAATATGCTGCTGTTTAAAACTTATGTTTTCACAAACCCCAAAAATTCTTGTGAGTTCCAGGGAGCCAAATTGAAGGATCCACCTTAAACTGGTCAGATACACCCCTCTCAATTCCCTGGTCTTAATTTTTTTTTTTCTAAACTTAACTTTGTCCTCTGTTCTGCCAAAACTAAAACAGGTCTAAGAGACACCAGACAGTTCCATACCACAAACACCGGACAGGAGCAAAGAGACCAGTTACCCCAGGATGAGGCTGGCACCCAGCTTTTTCAAGTCCCCCCCTCAATGACACCCACAAAAGAGCAGGAAGCAGTCTTGAGAATCCACCGCCCCAAATCCTTTAACCTGTTGTGCCTAACCTCCCTCCTTTTTATTATAAAAAAAAGAGATGGGAATGTAATGGTCTGTCCTGTTCTTTAAGAGACAAGCCCTGCCCACTCCCTCCTGCTGAGTCCAGCTGAGGCAGGCAGAACTTCCTTCTGCTTCCAGCCTGTGTCTTTCCTTTCAGTCTCTCTCCTAGAAGAGGCAGCTTCTGCCTCGCTCCCTTCTCCCCACTTCTCCCCTTCCCCCTCCCTCTGTTTCTCTCTCTCTCTCTCTCTCTCTCTCTCTCTCTCTCTCTCTGCCTCTCTCTGCTCTTCCCCTTTCTCCCCTTCCACCCTATCCCTTTCCCCTTCATCACCCACTAAATAAATTCCCACTTTCTCTGCATGGCGCATCTCTGTCTCTCACCTGCCCTGCAGCTCCCTGCCTGGGACTGGCTGCCTTCCTGGCCTGCTGCGGTCTCATGCCCACTGCCTGCTGTCACCACTCGGGGACCTGGGGCATTTTACTTTACCACAACAAACCCCACTTTCTCTCACCTGATATCAGAAACTCATTTTCTGCTGAGACCTCCCTACTTTGTCCAGGAATCCGCAAAGTGTCCCAAGGGCTGACGGATCCAGAGACTCAGTTCTGGGTTCCCTGTGGGAACTTGGGACCCTTCTGCACCAGTTACCTTTCTTGTTGCCATGACAATCTACTTGACAGAAACACCGACAGGGATGAGGACTTATTTTGGTTCGTAGTTCCATGGCACAGTTCATGGCGGCAGGAACGTGTAGCCGAGACTCGTCTTGGAAGCTGAGAGAGCATGGCAGGAAGGTGCCAAGGACAGTGTACCCCAAGGACCGCACGCCTAGTGACCTACTCCCTCCATCTAAGCCCCACCACCTAAGATTCTACAGCCGGACTGGGGAGAATCACCAGGCATCTGTTGATATGCCTGCTAACCTGATCCCTGGTATCCACGAGGTTCAACTGACACTTGATGTTCTCTGTCCTTTAGTGTACACTGTGGCATATGTGTGCTCGGGAACAAACACATAGACACACACAGACAGAGACACACATGTACAGACACAGACACACACAGACACACGTAAAGAGACACATATACAGACACAGACACACATATAGACACACAGACACAGAAACACACACAGACACACACAAGCAGACACACATATACAGACACAAACACACAGACACAAATACACACAGAGATACACAGAGACACAGATACACAGGCAGACACACACACATATACTGAAACAGATACACACACAGACACAGACAAGCAGACACACAGACACACAGGCAGACAGACACACATACAGACACACACACACAGACACACAAGCAGACACACATAACAGACACACAGATACACACAGACACACAAGCACACACACACAGAGGCAAACACACACACACGCTCAGCCCACAGAGCTATTCTTCCTTTAGTTCAGCTTTACTATCTTGGTCAGTATCTGGTCTCTGTCTGCTTACGATTAAAAAATACCCCACCCTGTAAAAGGCCCTCCAGAAACACATCAACTCAGGTGTTTGTTACCAAGGTAAAAATTAACCAAAAACCTATTAGCTTCGTTTGCCCTCCATCAACCTTGAAAACCCTTCTCATTCCAAGCCAGGTGTGGCCGAGCACGCCTGTTACCCCTAGACTCAGGGTGTGGAGAGAGAGGGCTAAGGTTCAAGGCCAGCCTTAGCTACACAGCAAGTTTGAGGCCAGCTTAGGTTATGTGAGTCCCTGTCTTAAACCTTATAAATAACGGCAAGTTGCACAGCCAGGAAGCACATTGCTAACTCTCCACCGTGCCGACGGCTTACAGTGACCGTGGCTTTGGCTACTTCTTATCCACCCGAATCACGTTTTCCTGACAACAGAGACTTCAGTTTGTTTTTCAGAGGTCTGATGGTGACATCGCTACCTCTACGTCATGTCTTTCCCTTCCCAGTCTAAATGTATGTGGATGTGTGGATCACTGGAGGAATGTTTTGTTCAAGGCTGTGTGACACACGACTGCAGGTCGGGGCTAGCGTGTGTCTTCTACCCCGCCCTGGTGTGTAATCCTTCAGCTGTCTCTCACCTGTCATCAGGCCCAGATGATCCACAGGGCCAGTAAGGACAACGGCCTCAGTAACAAGAGGGACGCAACAGTTTCTCCGACGTGCTCACCATTCTTCCAACTGACCCATGCCTCACACGAGAAGGAAAACATCTTTTGCCACTGCGCCTTGGCCAGTAGTCAATTATAAGAGCCCCTCCCCCGATTAATAAAAGCCTGCCCCTCTCTTTATTCAGAGTAACACCCCAGTCCCAGCTGACCTGTATGTTCATAGCTTTTAGCTGGATGTCATTGCAGTTTTCTCTTGTTCAGCTCATTCATGGCTAGACCTGCTCCTGTGTCCCTCCGCCCCTATGCTGGGACTGGTTGCTTTATCGGTTGGTGCCCACAAACTGTTGAAGTAAAAAGAACATTACTTGGAGTCTGAGGAACTGGGTGAGGCAGCTGTGAGTTGGGGTTCCTGGGAAGGCAGGAAAGGTGTCATGGGCTGTTGACAGGGGCCACTGCCCCCCTCCCCGGGACAAAACGGTGGGCGCTGGCACCGTGGTAAGGCTGACCTCACAATATTTCGCTTCAGTTTCGAAACGAACACCTGGCCCTTTCTTGTGCCTCACCTCACATCTCTTTTGACTGGATGACTCGGAGGCTGGGTGTTTCCGCTCTGAGGATTTTTGTTTTGTTGTTTTTTTAAGGTCACACTTCATTTATTGTTTAGGCAGGCCTCGAATTCTCTGTGTAACAAACAACATTGAACTCCTGGGCTTCCTGTCTGTTCCTTCCAGATGCCGAGATTACAAACATGAGATTACATGCCCCGCCATGACTAGTTCATGTGGGTAGAATCCGGACCCTCGTCCGTATGGCTGCTGGACAAACACTCTCCAGAGTGAACTACATCCCCCAGTCCTTTACTCTGGATTTTTGAAATTTTGTTTTTCATTTTTATCTGTAAAATGGATGAGCAGAATGAAAAGGTCCATCCATGGTCGTCTTCTTTTTTGAGAGGGAGAGGGCACATGTGCACACAGGCTAAACAGGATCTCTCACTAAACCTAGAGCTAGGCTGGCAGCAAGCCCTAAGGATCCTCTTATCTGCATGCCCCCCATGCCAACTTTACAGGCCAGTGTGGCCACGCCTGGCTCGTATGTGTGTGTGTTGTGAGGTGTGTAGGCACGTGTGTGTCACCATGGCACTCGTGTGAAGATCACAGGTCAACCTTTGTGGGCTGGTTCTTGCCTACGCTTGTTTGAGGCCAGGCTCGCAGACTTTGATGGCTCCGAAGCCTCCAGGTCTCCGTCTTCCATCTCCCAGTAGGTCCTCGTGTCTGCACAGCTAATGCTCACCCACTGGGAGAAGCTCACACACCCTTCTACCAGGATGCTCTGTCTGCACAGGCTGAGTACATAGAGCCGGTTTCCTGAAGTCCTGAACTTGAGGGGAGTCCTCTGTGACCTTTACAGACCCGTAGAGAGATGGCTCACAGGTGGCAAGAAGTCAGTTCAGCCCAATACTGCTCAGTAGCTGGCATCAGCTACACTTTGAGAGGTCTGACCCTAAGTAGTTTATTTTTGTGGTTTTTGTTTTTTTTGTTTTTTTGTTTTGTTTTGTTTTTTGACAAGGATTTTTTTTTTCTATAGCCGTGACTCTCCTGGAACTTGCTCTGTAGACTTGGGCTGGCCTCGAACTAAGAGAAATCCACCTGCCTTTGTGCCCCAAGAGCTGGAATTAAAGGCAGTGCCACCACTGCCTGGTTTATTTTATTAATTTTGTGCATATTTAAGCACAGAACAATTTGGTGAACACTTTTCTGGTGATAACTAATTCAATCCCATGTGTATGACAAAGCATACATGAATCTCCCTGAGGAACAAAGTAGGCTAAATACAGCTCAGACATAGCTCCTGTGAGGGCTAAGGTTTTGTTTTAGGTTTAGATCATGGTGGTTAGGACACCTACAAAACAAAGATGCTTCTGAGCTGTAAGCCCCACTTGCCCAAGGATACATAACTTCCTGGAATGCTGGGACTGTTCATGTAAGATAATAAACCATGTGTCATTTCTATAAACAAGGTTGGTTGCCCCAACCGCACAGGATGTGCTTGGTCACATGTAGATGGGAGGTACATAGGCAGGAAGTACATCAAGATGAATACTTGCTCCTGATTGGACCAAGGCAGGAAGTATGTAGCTGTAGCCTTGTGGGGTTTTGCTTTTCTGGGCACCTGACTAACCTAATTCATGGCCATTCTCTAGGAGTCCTGGGTATGGACCTGGCCAGTGTCCGTCTTCCTGGCCAGAATTTAATAAAGCTAGCTCTAAATTTGGCTCAAAAGTTGTGGTAGCATCTTAGTCTTGGCCAGTGGTGTTAGCACAACATTGAAACTCTTTGTAAACTGGACATGGTGGCGTACTTTTTAAATCCCAGGCAGAAGCAGGGAGATCTCTGTGAGTTCGAGGCCAACCTGGTCTACATAGTAAGCTAGAGCTATGTAGTGAGACCCTGTCTCAAAAAAGCAAGCAAGCAAACAAACAAACAAAAACCCACTTCTTTGTAAAGCCCGTAAAGATAGGTACTACATATTGACTCAGAAAAGCAAATTTATGCCAAGGGTCTGGGGGAGGATCCAGTGTGGGAAAAGTGTCTGACCACACAGGTAGAACAGAGGTCCCCAGAATAGAGAGCACCTCCACGCTCAGCCTTCTGGGTGGATAATGGAGTCTGCATTCCTTCCCTGGGAAGGAACCAATCTGGGAGTTTAACATTTCAGCTCCCTCTACTGCTCCTCTGTGAACACAAAGACCTCCGTGCCTCCTGCAGGAACTCTTCCCCTCTGTGAGCTGATTTGCTCTGGGATTTTGTGACAGAGATGGAGTGTGGCTAAGGAGATGGAGTGTGGCTAAGGAGATGGAGTGTGGCTAAGGAGATGGAGTGTGGCTAACCTGTGAGGTAATGAGAGCAGTTGCTGAAGCCTTGATCGAGGAATTCATTGATTGCAACATGTTGACACACCTCATGCACTTGCAGACAGAATTCTTCCGAAAGGAGACAACTTTATTATTTGACTAGCCTCGATGAGTTATTTCCCTGACATCGTACAAGCACGACAGATCAGGTCTATTTTGTAGTATCATTAGGAACTCATTACTTCATATGTTATCTGATATATTTGATCACGAGGCACAAAATGAGGCTCCCGTCTTGGGCTCCTAAGGGGAAACACTCATTTCACAGTTGAGCACCTAAGGGCGGAGGTGAGAACTTCCCAACAAAGTAGGACCCATCCTTGCTTCAGACCCAGGTGTGACTAGCCGGGGTCACAAGGTCACAGAAACCCTGTGCTGCATGAACAATCAGAATTTTCAGCAAAGAAAATCAGCTTGGCTAAAGCTAAGGAGATACCCAAAAAGGCAAAAAGATTTGATCTGTTTCAGGAGGTTAACAACAGCTAAGAGAGGAGAGAGAGCTCGGACCCAGTGACATTTAGAGATGCCTTGGGGCCTCACGGAGCAGAATCCTGAGGTCTGAGAAGCTGATGAACACGAAGGTACTAGACTCCTGTCTCTGCATCTGAGGTGAGGCAGGGCCAGGTTTGCCCTGGAAGTTTGAGAAAACTGCAAATGGGGGGGGGGGCAAGAGACCATGGCCATCAGGGGTCCGAGGCCAGAGCCTCATGAGGGCGGTCAGAGCAAAGACTTCAGAAGTGAAAATTCAGGATCCCGGTACTAGTCAAACTCACTGAGGGTTCATTGGAATCCTGGCTTGAGGCCTTGCAAAGTACCAAGGTCAGGACAGCATCCTCAGCAAGGCTGGAGACTGACCTGAGCGTCCCTCTTGCCCCTAGAGTGGGGTAGGAGATTTGAACCCATAGTGATGCAGGAAGTAACTTCCTGGAAAACACTGGGTATTTCTGAGTTGATACTTCCTGGTCTGGAGGGCAAACTCTGGCTACATTTGTTCCCATAATGAGCAACCAGGCCTCCCATGGCTTCTACTTCTTAAATAGGGTTGGCCAAGAGAGGGCTGTGAGCCACAGTAGTGAGGGGGGCTCCAGAGCTCAGTGTTCCTGGCTTATCTCTGTGAGTCTGGGGAGGAGGTCCCCTCTCCTTCCTGAAGGGTAGGTGAGACTTCCCTATGCTAACCTCACAGATGGACTGACACAGGGCTCCTGTTGCCTCTGGCTCCTGGTGGCTGGTGAGTTCCTTGACCTTCACCAGACCACATCCCTGGGACTGCGGGACCAGAGCCTGAATGGGCAGGTCCTGGCAAGCAGTGAGGTTACAGTTTGATTGCCTCGAAACTCCCCTAGACTGAGCCAAGGACTCTGACCCCACTGTGCCGTGGACCGGAGAGGAGCCATGGAGTTCTGGACAAGGTGCATTTTTCTTCTGCTGCTGCAGCTGCTGCCAGGTGAGGAGTGTTCTTCCTGCAGTCATCCTCAGCCCCTTCCTCCATGATGACCTCCACCATCCTGCTTCCTCGGGATCCTCAGCCGCTCTCCCTAGACAACCAGGAGAGGGCCAAACCCCATGTGCCCACTGACCCTCTGAGGGAGGCAGGAGGAGGAAGAACCACAGAGGAAAGTGGGTGGCTGTTCCTGAGTGGGGCGATGTCCCGGAGCCATGTCTCATGGGGATGGTAACTTTGTGGATGGAATGCTGACCCTAGACCCCTCCTCTTGTTTTCTCTTTTAAAAATTTGATGAGAATTTCATGTGCATATCTGTTTTGATCATATCTGTCTTCTACTCACCTCGCTTCATTCCCCTAGGCCCTTCCCAGAAATTCTTCCAACTCCATTGATCATCTCTTCCTTCCTCCCCTCTTCTGCTGCTGTAACTCACGGAGTTCAGATGCTGCTGTCTATGAGTCCACGGGCACAGGGCCATCCTCGTGTCCACGGGCAACCCACCAGTGGCCACAGCCCCCAAAGAAAAATTGCTCTCCCTCACCTATCAGCCAATAACTGCTCAGCTAGAGATGGGCCTTGGGAGCCACTCCCCACGCAACACTCCAAGTGTTGTCTGCCTGGACAGGTCTTCTGTGCGTTACCACAGCTGCTGGGGTAGCAATATGAAGGCAACAGCCGTGCTATGTCCAGAGGACAGCTTTCCCCAACCTCTTCCCCATCCTGCAGCTTGCATCCCTCCTGCCTTCTCTTCTGTCCCGTTCTGGAGCTTGGGAGGTGTTGACGTAGATACGGATGTACCACTGAGACCGAGTCGCTTATTCTCAGTGTTTTGGCTAGTTATGAGTGCCTGCATGAACCAGTCCACTGAGAAACTTTCTCTTGTTTTCTAGGAGGCCGTGGGGATGTGTTGCCTTCAGGTAATGACCAGCCTTGAGTGTCCCAGGGAAGAAACCAGGGTGGAAGATGTTGGATATGGTGGGTCCTGGGTGGGACTGGCTTTCTGAGAAGGTCCTTCTGCAGTGTGTGGTCATTCCCGAGATGCTGGGAAAATCGTGGGTGGCCAAGATGCACCGGAAGGACGGTGGCCGTGGCAGGTCAGCTTGTGGATAGCTGGAGAGGGCCACGTATGTGGGGGCTCCCTCATCCACCCAGGATGGGTGCTCACGGCTGCCCACTGCTTCCACAGGTAAGTGAAGAGTGCAGAGTGGCCGCCATTCTTGTTCCCTTCTTCATCTCTGGCAGAGGTCTCAACAGACTGGGCCTGTCTCTTTCTAGGTTTAAGGACCCTAACTTTTACCAGGTGAAGGTTGGTGGACTGACACTCTCCCTTCTGGAGTCCCCCACAACCCTAGTGACTGTGAGGAGCATCTTTGTGCACCCCAGCTACCTCTGGGAAGACACATCTAGTGGAGATATTGCCTTGGTGCAACTGGGCAAGCTTCTGAAACCCTCTCAATTCTCTCCCGTCTGCCTCCCGGAAGCCCAAGCTCCTCTCACCCCTGGGACTGTCTGTTGGGTAACGGGCTGGGGCTCTACCCAAGAAAGAGGTGAGAGAATCCTTCCACACCCAGTCCCTACTGCTATCCATGGGAAGGCTTGGCCGGGAGGGGATGCACTGCCAAGCTGTGTGGTTTCACTTGACCACGGTGCCCACTCAGGGCAGATTTGGGGAACCCCACCCAGTGTGCAGGGTTCTGCCTGCTGCAGAAATGGGTAAGCTGAGGCCCAGCAGCCCTGAGATTATGGAAGCCGGCACAGCTCACAGGGGCGGACTGTCCTTGAACTCTGTTCTCTGACTCTGCTTCCTGGTTTGGGGACTTGGAGAGGGACTAGAGAAGAAAGAAATGGCAGGAGGTTCGGGTTGTCTGCATGGTGGGAGGTTCCAGCAGGTCAGGGTGCACTCAGGCCGGGACTCTCTCTTGTCCAGACCTGGCGAGTGTCCTCCAGGAGTTAGCTGTTCCTCTCTTGGACTCCGAGGAGTGCGAGAAGATGTACCACATCCCGGAGAGCAGCCAGTCAGGGAAGCGATTCATCCAGTCAGACATGCTCTGTGCGGGCTACGCAGAGGGCCAGAAAGACTCCTGCCAGGTGCCAGCAGTCCCACCTTGTAGTCCATATCCATGCCCCACACCCTAGAGACGCTGAGGAGGACCAGGGCACTCACCCAGTCCCTGTGGCCTCATCAGAGGGTATTTTTAAAATTTTTTTCTTGACTAGGCTCTCCTTTTTTTCTCAGGGTGACTCTGGGGGACCACTGGTCTGTGTCATCAACAGTTCTTGGATCCAGGTGGGAATCACCAGCTGGGGAGTTGGCTGTGCTAGGCCGCTCAGGCCTGGCGTTTACACACGGGTGCCATTTTATGTAGACTGGATTCGGAAAACCTTGGCAGAGAACCATTCTGAATATTCTGAAGCCTGCGGGAGCCACTCCGGAGCCTCTGGGCCACATCCACTACTGATGCTAGTGTTGCTGGCCATAGCCTTGCCAGCGGCTCTGTGAACTATGAGCTCTAGAGTCCAGGATCCCCCTCCCCGCGGTGGGATGGGAGTCTTGGAAGCTTAGAGAAGACGCTCAGTAATGGTGGGTTCACAGGCGACAGCCTGGGAGGTGTTGGAGGCTGAAGGGATCTGAGTTTTAGGACACAGTAATCTGGAAGACAGGGACACATCCTCAAATACAGGCAGCCACTCACACGTCATCACAGCCTGGCCTTGACTCAGCTCTACAGGTGCTAACTCCTTCAGTGACACACAGTGCCACAGCAGGAGTAGGAAAGCCCAGAGAGGGCCGTGAACTTCCCAAGGTCACACAGTTAGCCAGCTGGATAGACTCTCCATTAAACAAGTGTGGCTCAGAACCTGTGCACCTGCCCCAAAGAGACCCCATGCTGGTATGCACCATTGCACCTTGTTTGGTTCCCAGCACCCACATCGTGGGGCTCACAACTGCAGAAGGTCCTGCTTCTGGCTTGAGGACACACACACGGGGGTACACAAACATATAATATAAATTATTGTTAAAAAGGCATGTTTATTTTATGTGGATGGGTGTTTTGTCTGTATGTGCAGTACCCATTCAGACCTCCTCTCTTTCTCTCTCTCTCGCTCTCTCTCGTCTTTGGAGACAGGGTTTCTCTGTGTAGCCTTGGTTGTCCTGGAAATTGCTCTATAGACCAGACTGGGCTTGAACTCAGAGAACTACTCCCGAGTGCTGGCTTGCACCACTACCTCCTGGCTCCGTTCAATCTCTTGAGACTAGAGTCACAGACTCAGGTTACAGACAGTCGTGAGCTGTCATGTGGTTGCTGGGAACTGAACCTGGGTTCTTTGGAGGGACAGCCTGTGTTCTTAGCCATGGAGCCATCTCTCCAGCCCCCAAAATAAGGCAAATATTTTTAAGAAATCCTTTGACAGAGCAACTTTCCGTCTGCTGGGTCTGATCACAAGATGCAGGTTGTGTGTCAGATGAAACTGCTTTTTCTCAGTTTCTCTAGCAATTCATTTGCATTGTGTTTTCCAAACACATCTGGCCATGGGCTATGTATCGGTAAGTTGTTATGTGCTGTTTGAGCTCACTGAGAAGCTGGGAATAGGGTCTCCCCAACCCCATTTCAGACTCAAACACATTTAAATGTCCTCCAAGACCCCTTGTCTGGGACCGGACTAGCCTCTCTAACTCCATGACAGGAAGGATAGCATAGCCAATAGTGGAGGAGTGGAAACCGTGCCCTTGAGGACAGCTAGACAGTGGAGCATTTCCACGAGGGCTTTCTCTTGCTGATCCCATGACAGAAAGGAGTCAGCCGTGGAGGAGAGCACACCTGGGAATCCAGGGGACACCTGAACTTCCCAGTTCCTATTGGAGGCTGTGAAGACTGACTTTATGACATCATCTCTATCGGTTGCTGTTTGTCCTCTTACTTGGAGACCTCACCAGAGGGAATGCTCTGCTTGCCTGGACTCACTCTGATGGGAACTCCAGCCCTCAACAGGGCTCCACCAGTCTGCAGATGGGATGCGTTGAACACCCGATTCCATGATGTTTTGCTTTCTATTGCTTGCTATTTGTTTGTTTACTTTGGCTTGCTATCCCCTAATAATCTAATTTAATTAAAGCTAAAAGCATGGCTGTCATAGATCATTCTCCAAAGCAGAAAGGCTGTAGTGGATTTAAAAATAGTCCTTCCTAGACTGGAGAGATGGCTCAGGGGCTCAGAGCACTGACTACTCTTCCAGAGGACCAGAGTTCAATTCCCAGAAACCACACTGTAGCTCACAATGGTCCGTAATTACGGCTTCAGAGGATCTGAATCCTCTTCAGACCTCCATTGTCACTGCATGTATGCAATGCATTTACATATATGTAGGCAAAGCACCAATATTTACAAAATAAAAATAAAGTCTTTAAAAATTAAAAAAAAAAGTCCGTTGCCCAAGAAGGCTTTTGAAGTTCAGGCCTAGGCAATTTGCCTGCATCTCCCCTGTGTCTTCACGGTTAGAGTCACTGTTGTCTGTCAACTCTCCTCTGTGTTTACTAGCAAAACTCCCGTTCTTTCTTGAAAGTGTCTCAAAAGTATATGCATATATATATATATATATATATATATATACACACACACACACACATACATATATACGTACGTACACACACGCAGGTGCGCACACACACACACATTACACACACATATATGTTTTCTTTGCAAGTCAGTCAAGCTAAGAGCCAGGAACCCTTTGATGCTTTTAATGTCAGCCTCAGCATGTAGTTGCCATGGTCACTAACTGGCCAATAAGAGTCTTTATTTTGCAGTCCTGACCATCTCTCCATTCTAGGACTATTTTTAAATCCACTACTACTATTTATGCTTTGGAGAATGATCTATGACAGCCATGCTTTTAGCTTTAATTAAATTAGATTATTAGGGGATAGCAAGCCAAAGTAAACAAACAAATAGCAAGCAATAGAAAGCAAAACATCATGGAATCGGGTGTTCAACGCATCCCATCTGCAGACTGGCGGAGCCCTGTTGAGGGCTGGAGTTCCCATCAGAGTGAGTCCAGGCAAGCAGAGCATTCCCTCTGGTGAGGCCTCCAAGTAAGAAAACAAACAGCAACCGATAGAGATGATGTCACAAAATCGGTCTTCACAGCCTCCAATAGGAACTGGGAAGTTCAGGTGTCCCCTGGATTCCCAGGTGTGCTCTCCTCCACAGCTGAACTTCCCGCTGAGTATATACCACATGCCCCCAACCTACTGGAGACTGCAGGTGCTGCCCATAACAGCTGTGGGTGCCGTCACCTGCTGGGTGGTGAGTGCCCTTATCTGGGTTTTAGCAGATGAACCGAAGGGCACCTGACAGAACAGGTGATCATTTTCAGGGAGAGAGACAGGTGAAAAGCCACTCTTTCCTTGGGGGTTTGAGAAACTTCCACTGCCACTGTCTGTGTAAGATGAGGTTGTTGGGCTGTCAGGGCCATGGAGGGGATGGCCCCAGGGCCAATCCTCTGTTTCCTGAAACACTGCCCACCCTAGGTGGCCGCCTGGAATGCTCCACAGAAAGGACAGTAAAGCCAGCCTGGGGCTAAAGCCAAGGGTGGGAGCACTTAGTTGATAAAGTGTTCACTGTGTAAGCATGAGGCCCAGAGCTTGAACCCCAGCACCCATGCGAAGATGCCACGTGTAGCAGAGAGAGCAGTAATCTGAGTGCTGGGGAGGAGAGGAGGCCCTCTGCGGCTCCCTGGCCAGTCAGACCTGTGAGAGACCCTGTCTCAAAAAAACATAGGGTTGCTAGCCCTGGAGTAAAATACTTGAGGTTGGCTTCCGTCCTCCACACACACACGTACATATATACATTGAACTCACACAGACATACACAGAGACACACACACAGACACACACAGACACACACATACACACAGACACGTACACACTGACAGAAACACAGACACACACAGACACACACACACAGAACACACAGACACACACAGACACATACACACAGACAGACACACACATACAGACACACACACATACAGAGACACACACAGACACACACACACAGAACACACAGACATACACAGACACATACAGACACACACACACTGACAGAAACACACACACACAGACACACACACACAGAACACACAGACATACACAGACACACACACACAGACAGACACACACATACAGACACACACACATACAGAGACACACACAGAGCTGACTGCCCGGGGCAGAGGTAGAGATCAGGTGAGCAAGACACCTTCCAGCCCTGGACCCTCTGCCCTTTCAGAGAACAGACACCGTTGACAGCCTTGGTTACGCCTGGGCAGAGGTGTCTATCTTCTGATGCCCCTGAGTCCGGGTGCCACGGAGTCACTTGCTCTGTCCCCACAGAGCCCCTCACAGACCTTCCTGGGTACCCCTGTCTGCACTCTGCCCTATCCCATTTGTCCTTCCAGAAGGCAGAACTCAAGTCTGGCGAGGATCTTGGTCTTTCGGAGCCGACTCTGCCCTCTCCTTTCAAGTGCCGAGCTGATAAATTCTGTTGCCTTGTGCCTCCCGATAACTACCATCCAGAAGTCAGCAAGACGATGTGGGGTAGAACAGAAGAAAAGGCCTCAATTTTGCCTTCCAGATTTTTTTTTTTTTTTGTGGAGGGGGTTTATTTTCTGAGCAAACTCTCATATAACTCGTACTGGACCTGGCTCACTGTGTAGCTGAAGATGACTTTGAACTCCAGATCACCCCGCTTTCACCTCTGGGATTTCAGGGGTGTGCCACTAAGCCTTGTTTCAATTCTGCATTCCATGTACCAGATACGGGTAAACCTACCCCTGTATCTATCAACCCTCAGGAAGTCTCCAAACAAGATCCTTCTTAGATAGCAGCCTTAATCTTTTTTTAAATTTTTTTAATAATTTGTTTATCTTTATTTTATGTGCATTTGTGTCAAGGTGTCAGATCCCCTGGAACTGATTTTCAGACAGTTGTGAGCTGCCATGTGGGTGCTGGGAATTGAACCCCAGGTCCTCTGGAAGAGCAGTCAGTGCTCTTAACCACTGAGGCATCTCTCCAGCCCCCCGCCTTATCTCTTCAGACCGCACAGCCTGTTTCTAAGATCTCCTCCGACCCAGGCTAAGCGTGTCTCTGAACATCTATGCATCCCTATGTGTGTCTCCATGTGCATGAGTTCTGTAGACCAACCTTAATCCCCACCCTCCAGGGCTGCTTGTCTTCCTCATCCACCTGCCCCCAACAACGGGTTACAGGAAAGAGCCGGAAACAGCACAGGAAAACCCAGTTCTGCAGACTGGTATAGATTGCATGCAAACACGGTCCCCTTTGTCTTCTGTTAGTCTGGTTACCCTCCCACGATGGTACTGCCGGTGGGTTTTGAAAATGGGCCTTTCTGCTTATGGTAGCAGGCAAGGAGGTGCAGGGCAAGGATGAAGGTCAAGGATGTGATAGCTGGGGATCGGTGGGTGCCCTGGGGAAGTTGGGCTGATGTGGCACCCAGGTGACTCCTCTCAGGCACCCCTGCTAGCTGCACTGTCCGTATAATCTAGGTGCAGATCTAGTGACAGGTTCCTTCTTGGACAGGTTGAAACAGAACTGCCCAGTTCCGTGTTGTGCAAGAGGAGGCCGCTCAAGGCCACAGAAACAACAAATAGGCGCACCCTCCAAGGTCAGGTCAGAACAAGGATAAGGAAATGGTTACAATTTATTAAAATGTTCCGGAAAACCCACAGTTGATTTCTGTTCAAAGGTCAAGTCGGGGAATGATTGGCTGAGATGAGGGACTGAACCAGGAACCAAGTGAGGAACAATGGGGTTTCCCCAGCAGCAGCCCAGGGCTGAGGCTATCATGGCCTCCTCTTGGGACTGGGAGTGTGTTGGTGAGAGGTGATTCTCAAGGACACTGCGGGGAGCCAGTGCCAGTGGTACCATGTGTGGCTGGCTCCAGGTTTCCAGGATGAAGGTGCTGAGGCCACTGGCACAGGGGGTATGGGAGGTCCATTCCCTTCATGGTTTGGAGCTAGGCTGGTACCCACACAGGAGGCAATAGAGGGAAGGATTTGGATTTCAGTATCATGCCCTCTTGGCCTTGGAATTCTCATCTGTAAAATAAGAATTAACCTCCCCAACAGGGTGCTTCTGACGATTAAATGAGTAATAATTGTGAAAGTATGTGTGCGCTGTGGTACATGCTGAGTGCAGGTCTGTTCTTCCATCCATCCTTCCATCTACCCATCATCCAGCTATCTATCTGCTCACTGTCATATCCATCCATCCATCCCTCCATCCTCCGCTCACCTATTAACCTATATGTCAATGCATCCATCTGTTTATCAATCTGTTCATTCATCTTACTATTTATTTATTTGTCCATCCACCTATCCATCTATCTACCTACATACACATTCACTTAGCCACCTACCCATCGATCCCCTCATTCAAAAACTAACAAATCATATCATAGGACAATTTCCTGCATGAATTCCCAGACTCTGCAGCAACACCGGCTCCCCAGCAGTCTTGCATGGATTCCCAGACCCTGCAGCAGCTCAGGCTCCCCAGCAGCAGTCTTGCATGGATTCCCAGACCCTGCAGCAACACCGGCTCCCCAGCAGCAGTCTTGCATGGATTCTCAGACCTTGCAGCAGGCACTGGCTCCTCAGAAGCAGTCTTGCATGGATTCTCAGACCCTGCAGCAGCACCGACTCCCCAGCAGTCTTGCATGGATTCCCAGACTCTGCAGCAGGCACTGGCTCCTCAGAAGCAATCTTGCATGGATTCCCAGTCCCTGCAACAGCACAGGCTCCCCAGCAGTCTTGCATGGATTCCCAGACCCTGCAGCAGGCACTGGCTCCTCAGAAGCAATCTTGCATGGATTCCCAGACACTGCAACAGCACAGGCTCCCCAGCAGCAGTCCTGCATGGATTCCCAGACCCTGCAGCAGCACCGGCTCCCCAGTAGCAGTCTTGCATGGATTCCCAGACTCTGCAGCAAACACCGGCTCCCCAGAAGCAGTCTTGCATGGATTCCCAGACCCTGCAGCAGCACCGGCTCCCCAGCAGCAGTCTTGCATGGATTCCCAGACCCTGCAGCAGCACCGGCTCCCCAGCAGCAGTCTTGCATGGATTCCCAGACCCTGCAGCAGCACCGACTCCCAGCAGCAGTTCTTCAGTACCGTTTTCCTCACCACTGTTTCAAGCTTCCTTCCTCTTTCTTACCACTCACTGTTACTGGCTCAGCTCTAGGTTCTTTCACTCAAAGAGAGACAAAAATCACAAAAGGCCCACAACAACATTGGAAGGAGGCTGTTGAGGACTGGTGTTCAAGCACACGATGACTCGAAGACAGCCTGGGTCTACTCTCCCAGGAAGGCAGACTCCTCTGTTGTCTGTCTGGTGGTTTGTGCAGGTGGTTGTGGCTATTGCAGAAGGCAATAAATGCACCAGCACTTTAATCTTGGCATGAGGAGAGAGCACAGCATGAAGGTCAACTCATGCTCGAATTCTGTCTGCACTGGGGCTGACCTAACATACTTAATATTGGTACTATTTATGCTCGACCAGGAAGATCAGGTAGCGGTCAAAGCCAGGCACTCTGAGCACAATACTGTAGGAAAGTCCCTTTGCAGGCTTTGGAGGAAGCAGGAGGCATAAATGGAGCAGAAATCGTCCTCAGTGAGGATGGGAAACATGGCTCAGGAGTCGGGCCTTCTTGTTCCCATCCCAGCCACCAGAGACACTTGTTTGTGATCCTGGATTTCTTGTAAACAACGTGTTATGCTTGCAGAGCTGCTCTGAGCATGAGACCCTCAGGAGTTCCTGATTGCAGGGGAGTGGTTTCTGGTGCGTTTGGCTGGGGCGTGGCTATCAGTTAAGGATCCCTATATAAAAAGCTACCCCTGGACAAAATAAAGGGGGGAATTCCTGTTTCAAGGATGACCCGCATCTCTGTCTGTGTGTCTTTGTGTGTTTAAGTCTCCAGGCCCTTGTCTGGCTCGCGAATGGTCCTGTAGTGCAGGCGCCGCACTGCAGGAGTAGAACCGTACTGTCACGTAGTACAGGCAGGCGCTACACATGTTCCTGGTTTTTCTTGTGTCTTTCAAATTCCACCAGCACGATAACTTATACCTGTAGTCCCAGCACTCAGGAGACTGAGGCAGGAGGATTGTCTTGTACACATTGCCAACCTGTGCTATGAATTGAGAACCAGACTAAAAACGAAATGGGTGTTAGGGAGATGGCTCAGTCAATAAAGTTCTTGCCTTGCATGCACAAGGACCCGAGTTCAATCCCCAGAATTCATGTGTAAATAACATAAAAACAAAACAAACAAATAAAAAAAAAAACAGACAAGGAAGCCTGCACCTGTAATCCCAGCTCTGGGAAGGCAGAAGAAGCAGGAGGACCCTGGCCAGACAAGCTCCAGGCCAATGAGAGACAGTGTCAAAGAGCAAGATGGATCGCTCTTAGGGTTGTCCTCTGGCTTCCACTGGACTGCACACACACACATAAGCACCCACACCAACCCCCGACACACACACACACACACACACACACACACCAGTGACTGCACACCCCCCACAAACACCCACACCAACCCTGACACACACACACCAACCCCCGACACACACACACAAGCACCCACACCAACCCTGACACACACACACCAGTGACTGCACCCCCCCCACAAGCACCCACACCAACCCCTGGCGCGCGCACACACACACACACACACACCCCAGTGACTGCACGCACACCCACATAAGCACCCACTCCAGCTCCCCAACACACTCCAATGACTTGGACGCTAAGGGAACTTATTTATTTAATTTTGAGACGGTGTCTCATTTTGTAGCGCAGTCTGGCCTTGAACTTGTGGCAACCCTCCTGTTGCAGCCTCCAGAATACTGGGATTACAGGTATAAACCATTGCTTCCTGCTGAACCTTACTTATTTATTCATTATGAGATAGAGTCTTTTCTATCTCAGGCTGACTTTGAACTTGCTATGTAGCATAGGATGATCTTGAACTTCTGGTCCTCCAGCCTCCACCTTCCAATGCTGGGATTACAAGGTGTTTCCAGCCAGATCTGATTTATGTAGTGTTAGAAATTGAACCCTTGCATGGTTCCTTGCATGGTAGGCAGAACCCCACCAGTTGATTACATCCCCAGGCCTTGACTTTTCATAGGAGTTTCTATTTCACTTCCCTTTTGCTCATTGCCAAAATGTCTTTTTCTGGTTTCCCAAACTTTTCTTTTTGTTATATGTTTATTTATTTATCTTGCTTTTTTTTTTTTTTTGAGACAGAGTCTCTCTTTTTAGCCCTGACTGTCCTGGAACTCACTCTGTAGGCCAGGGTGGCCTTGAACTCACAGAGATCTGCCTGCCTCTGCCTCCTGAGTCCTGGAATTAAAGGTGTGCACCACCACAGCCCGGCACTGTTGTGTGTTTTTTTATGTATGTGCACGTGTGTGTAGCTATGCCTGGGAGAGCAATGGGTAGAAGCAGGCAGAACCTGAAAGGGAGAATCCTCCTCTTGTCCCCTCTTCTTTTTTCCCCTTTAGTTCTGTAAAATTGCTTGTTTATTTATTGTGTGCATGCACATTTGCGCACTGGTCCCCAGTGTGCATATTTGAGAGGAAGAGTTCTGGGAGCCGATTCTCTCCCTCCACCGTGTGGGTCCTGGGGATCGAACTCAGGCTGTTCAGGCTGGTACCAAGCGCCTTTACCTGCAGAGTCACCTTGCTGGTCCTTCTCTCATGTTCCGGTCACTATGAAAAACAACTAAAGCATCCAAATGAAAGAGACTAACAACATCGACTGTTAGCAAGGACAGCGGGTGGAAAACTTATACTCTAGGGAACACCCGAGCTACTGCCGCTTTGAGAGCTGGTTGGCAGTTTCTTTTCTTCACGTACCCAGGCTGGCCTTGAAACTGCCACATAGCTGAGGTTCACCTGTAGCCTCTCCCTCCAGTGTTGGGATCACAGGTGTGCAGCATCATACCTTGCTGGGAGTTTGTTTTAAATGTTTCCACTCACACCATGAGCTGATGTGGGGTTCCCCCTGTGTGCTGTGAATACCATTGGTTAACAAAGAAACTGTCTTAGGCCTGTGCAGGGCACAATATAGGTAGGTGGGGAAAGCTAAACTGAATGCTGGGAGAAAGAAGGCGGAGTCTTCAGCAACTGCTGGAACTCTAACTGGTAAGCCACAACCACGTGGCGTTACATAGATTATTAGAAATGGGTTAAATTAATATGTAAGAGTTAGCCAATAAGAAGCTAGAGCTAATGGGCCAAACAGAGAATTAATTAATACAGTTTCTGTTTGGTTATTTTGAGTCTGAGCAGCTGGGGATAAACAAGTGGCCTTCCTACAACAATGAGGCATCAAGAACAAAAACTTCTGCCCCCCAGGAGTTTAACAGCCCCCCAACAAACAGCCCAAATGTTCATCACTTGGTAAAGCAACTAAAAAGTGGGTTGTAAATAAAAAAGCACACAGACTACAAACGTCCTCAGGGGACAAGCGGGTGGAATCCAGAGTCACCGGGGAGACGGGAGACAAGCCTCTGATGAGCTTCATCATGCTAGCTGGTATGGGAAGACCTGCCCACTGTGGGTGGTTCCATTCCCTGAACAGGGCTTTTCCAGACTGTATAAAACAGAGACAGGAAACTGAGGAGCATCTTGTGTTGATAGCGCTCTGCTTCCTTGTTGTGGATGGATTTGACCAGCTGCTTCAAATCCCTGGTGCCTTGACTGCCCCACAACAGACTTTGATCTGTGAGCAAGAACAAACCCTTTCTTCCAAGTTACTTCTGTCAGAATGTTTGTTTCAGCAGCAGGCAAGGTAGGTAGGGCATTCCTGAATACAAAACAGAAGAATTCGGGAAACTCATCATCAAGTGAAGGAATACAGATACAAGGCTGACTCCTGGTGACTACACACACACACACACACACACACACACACACACACGACTTAGAGGTGGCAAAACCAGTCAGCAGTGACAGAAAACATGTTGGTGGCTCCTTGGAACTCAGGATGGGGACATTGAACGTCAGGAGAAGCTTTGAGAAGTTGACTTTCCACTTTTACGGGGTGCAGAGGTTTACTAAAAGCTGTCTAACTGCACTGTGGTCACAGCTATGGTTCTTTGCTTTGTTTTGTTTTTTGAGACAGGGTTTCTCTGTGTAGCTTTGGAGCCTGTCTTGAAACTTACTCGATAGACCAGGTTGGCCTTGAACTCACAGAGATCTGCCTGTCTCTGCCTTCCAAGTGCTGGGATTAAAGGCGTGCACCACCACTGCCAATTTGTTTTGTCTTTTGACCCAGGGTCTCACTCTGTAGCCCGGCTCATCTTGAGCTCAGCCCCTCCCACATTGGCCCACTGAGTGCTGGGATTATGTGTGTGCTCACCACACCTGACTCACACACGCCTTTTATAGTTATAACCTGAATAAAGTGACAAACCCTGAGCAGGAAGATACAGTTGAATAATGAGGTCTAAAGAAGGCAGGGCAATCAGGTCCCAAGGCGCTAGACAAAACATGAATGGCAGCATGCAATAAGGCAGAAGCCATCCTTGTG